AAAAGGTGCATTTGAATTTTGATAATTTTGTACACTATAGAGTGTCTAATTATGGTGTATAATAGATGAGAATATTATTAGTTGATATCAGGTTTATATTTCAGATTATATAAAAGAATTTAAATATGTCAAAATTTTAGTGAAAAAGTGTATTTAAATTTTGCAAATTTTGTACACTATAGAGTGTCTAATTACAGTGTATAAACAATGAGAATATTAGTAGTTAATATTGAGTTTATATTTCAGATTGTATAAAAGGATTAAATATATCAAAATTTTTTTTAAAAGGTGCATTTGAATTTTGATAATTTTGTACACTATAGAGTGTCTAATTATGGTGTATAATGTATGAGAATATTATTAGTTGAGATCATGTTTATATTTCAGATTATATAAAAGAATTTAAATATGTCAAAATTTTAGTGAAAAAGTGTATTTAAATTTTGCAAATTTTGTACACTATAGAGTGTCTAATTATGGTGTATAATAGATGAGAATATTATTAGTTGATATCAGGTTTATATTTCAGATTATATAAAAGAATTTAAATATGTCAAAATTTTAGTGAAAAAGTGTATTTAAATTTTGCAAATTTTGTACACTATAGAGTGTCTAATTACAGTGTATAAACAATGAGAATAATAGTAGTTAATATTGAGTTTATATTTCAGATTGTATAAAAGGATTAAATATATCAAAATTTTTTTTAAAAGGTTCATTTGAATTTTGATAATTTTGTACACTATAGAGTGTCTAATTATGGTGTATAATAGATGAGAATATTATTAGTTGATATCAGGTTTATATTTCAGATTATATAAAAGAATTTAAATATGTCAAAATTTTGGTGAAAAAGTGTATTTAAATTTGCAAATTTTGTACACTATAGAGAGTCTAATTATAGTGTATAAACAATGAGAATAATAGTAGTTAATATTGAGTTTATATTTCAGATTGTATAAAAGAATTAAATATATCAAAATTGTACTCAAAAGGTGAATTTCAATTTTGAAAATTTTATGCACTATAGTGTGTCTAATTATGGTGTTTAAACAATGAGAGTATCAGTAGTTTATATTCCAGATTACATAAAAGAATTTAAATATGTCAAAATCATTTTTACTCAAAACCTGAAAGGTCTAAGAATACGTTACGTTACCAAGATACTTAAAAATAAAGAGAAAGTCGAGTTTCTTTTTTTTCCCCATTGGATGTTATTCTACCTCTAGCATCTTCTTTATGCAATATCATTTTAATATCATTTTTGGTAGCATTGAAATCGTCGGTTGCTTCTGGACCAATTTATCAAACGACCTCGACGGACAAATTATCATTAATTATGCGTTGAGAAATTTTTTCCCTCCAAATTTATCGTCTGTTAGATAATTTTATTTAATGTCTCCGAGAACTGTGTTTAGAAAATTTTAGACACCACTCTGTAGTTTACGTCGACATTTACCACGATGCTTAAGCGATTGGCAATGACTGATCAGCTGCGAGCCAGTTGAACTTGTCCTAAATATCAAATAATACTTGCAGTAGTTCGACTCAACGTACCGTGTAATAATGGAGTAAAACATATCCGAGTGAACAATACGGAAGAAAGCGCACTTCCTTGGAAAATCAACGCTGAATATTATGATCACAAGCTATCGTTGCGAGACGAGCAATAATAGGAGGCGTGGGACTATTTGCACTACGCTAATTGAAAGTTCAAAAGTCTGTTTAGAACCTTAACCTCCATTACTCGAAACAGATTTAACGAGAAAGAAAATTCAGAAATTCTATGATAATAAAATTGCAATTTTTCAACGTTAAAATTTTAACAACACTCAACTGTAGACACTCAAGTATTTTTATAATTATAGTGAATTTAATACTCGAGAGGAAGAATTTAAAAAAGAAATAAAATAGTTAAATTTTTCTAATTTTTCTAATCTTTTAGATTATAACCTTAACCTCCATTACTCGAAACAGAATTAACGAGAAAGAAAATTCAGAAATTCTATGATAATAAAATTGCAATTTTTCAACGTTAAAATTTTAACAACACTCAACTGTAGACACTCAAGTATTTTTATAATTATAGTGAATTTAATACTCGAGAGGAAGAATTTAAAAAAGAAATAAAATAGTTAAATTTTTCTAATTTTTCTAATCTTTCGTTACAATTTGCAATATTTCTAAAAGTTCCACGTCGCTCTTTCGAAACCATGTGTCGTAAATTACTATTGCATGTATTATAGAACTGCTTACATCCTCATTCTATAAATATTTATATTTAAACGTGGATGAAACCGAAGTTGTAACCACAATGATTGATCCATGCCGTTAATTATTACATATCAGTTTTAGAAGTCAAACTGCAAAGGACAAGCTGTCATTCAATCCGTATTTAATGAATACGCTGTAGAATACGTGGAAAAAGTCCCACCTATCATTTCAAAACACGAACGACTAATTTGTATCTCCGATTTTACTCGCTCGGAATATTATCGATAATTCTAGGAAGCAAATTGTAGATGTTTCCGAGTAATGATTCGAAGAACATGACAGGAAACAGTGAATCGTTTATGCAAGGGCTAATATAATATTTCTAATTGGTCTGATACAGTCAAACTCAAAATTAAAATAAAAATAGTTAAAATTTTGACCTGAAATTTTATTAGACAATTTTGGTAAAATTTTATAAACCATAGATTGGCAAAAATTGGCAAAATCAACAGTTTGTTCCATAACAACCCTCTCTATTTATTATTTAAATAATTTGAAATGGTCTAATACAGCCAAATTCAAAATTAAAATAAAAATAGTTAAAATTTTGACCTGAAATTTTATTAGACAATTTTGGTAAAATTTTATAAATCATAGATTGGCAAAAATTGGTAAAAATTGGCAAAATCAACAGTTTGTTCCATAACAACCCCCTGTATTTATTATTTAAATTATTTTAATTGGTCAAATACAGTCAAATTCAAAATTAAAATAAAAATAGTTAAAATTCTCACCTCAAATTTTATTAGATAGTTTTGGTAAAATTCTATGAACCATGAATTGGCAAAATCAATAGTTTGTTCCATTGCAACCCTCTGTATTTATAATTTAAATAATTTGAATTGGTCTGATACAGTCAAATTCAAAATTAAAATAAAAATAGATGAAATTTTCACCTGAGATTTTATTAGATAGTTTTGGTAAAATTCTATGAACCATGAATTGGCAAAATCAATAGTTTGTTCCATTGCAACCCTCTGTATTTATAATTTAAATAATTTTAATTGGTTTGATACAGTCGAAGTCAAAATTAAAATAACAATAGATAAAATTTTGACCTGAAATTTTATTAGATAATTTTACTGAAATTCTATGAACCATGAATTGGCAAAATCAATAGTTTGTTCCATTGCAACCCTCTGTATTTATAATTTAAATAATTTTAATTGTTCTGATACAGTCAAATTCAAAATTAGAATAAAAATAGTTAAAATCTTCACCTCAAATTTTATTAGATTATTTTGGTAAAATTCTATGAATTATGGATTGGCAAAATCAATAGTTTGTTCCATAACAACCCCCTGTATTTATTATTTAAATTATTTTAATTGGTCAAATACAGTCAAATTCAAAATTAAAATAAAAATAGTTAAAATCCTCACCTCAAATTTTATTACATAATTTTGCTAAAATTCTATGAACAATCTGATCGATAAAAATTGGCAAAATTGTTAAAATTGTTGTTTAAATAATTTTTATATTTTCGTTTAGAAAAAAGCTACAGTTTGTCTCAGTTTTTAAGCAATCAATTTAAAATAAATGTAGATAATAAATAAAATAGTAATTCAAATTTAAATAATTCTTAAATATTCACCTAGGAAGAAGCTACAGGTTGTCTACTTTTTTGAGGCATAAAAAGTAATATTTTTCGAGAAAAAAAAATTGGCAAAATTGTTAAAATTGTTGTTTAAATAATTTTTGTATCTTTCTTTAGAAAAAAGCTACAGTTTGTCTCAGTTTTTAAGCAATCGATTTAAAATAAATGTAGATACTAAATAAAATAGTAAATCAAATTTAAATAATTTTTAAATATTCACCTAGGAAGAAGCTACAGGTTGTCTAATTTTTTTTGAGGCATAAAAAGTAATATTTTTTGAGAAAAAAAAATTGGCAAAATTGTTAAAATTGTTGTTTAAATAATTTTGTATCTTTCTTTGGAAAAAAGCTACAGTTTGTCTCAGTTTTTAAGCAATCGATTTAAAATAAATGTAGATACTAAATAAAATAGTAAATCAAATTTAAATAATTTTTAAATATTCACCTAGGAAGAAGCTACAGGTTGTCTAATTTTTTTTGAGGCATAAAAAGTAATATTTTTTGAGAAAAAAAAATTGGCAAAATTGTTAAAATTGTTGTTTAAATTATTTTTCTATTTTTCTCAGTTTTTAAGCAATCAATTTAAAATAAATGTAGATAATAATTAAAATAGTAAATGAAATTTAAATAATTTTTAAATATTCACCTAGGAAAAATCTACATGTTGTCTAATTTTTTAGGCATAAAGAATAATATTATTTGCATTTTGGAAAAATTCATTTGGCTAGAATTCATTCTTTTTCCTTTTGAATCACTTTCTTTTTAACACCCTGTACAACGAATGCACGACGTTAGAAATGTTCCGCGTGAATGACCACGAGACCGTATAATTATCAATCGACGCGTCCAATATTTTGTTGCATTACAATCACTTTTTTCATTCCACGTATCATTACTTTCTTCGCTCGACAGACCACGGAAGTGTTCGCGTTAAAAAATAAATAAACCCGAGGAACTGGTTCCCCGACTACTCTATTATAAACATTATCCAAACGTCCTTTATTAGAATTTCTCGTACAGAGATTATTTCGTAAAAATCGCGAAAAGATGACGTTCTCTATCAACAACCAAATTCTTCAAATTCTTCAAGTTCTTCGTTTTATAATAGGAAATTATTCATATTTACTTACGTAAGGTCGCTGACAGACGTTGCTCGTGGGCTCCCAGAACCGGGTTCATTAACTGACCAGTAAAATCCGTCTTTATGTAACACACAACAGTTTCGTGGAGCAAATGGAAGAAAGAAAATCACACAGGTTTCTCTATCGCCAAGGTGCAACACACATTCGGTTTGTGGCCGGTTAGAATGTGATTGCCGCTTCCTCTTTAACGGCTCCGCATCCTTTTCGTGCCTCAGCAGACTGTGATTACGGCTATACTGTTATTCGAGTCCTGTTCGAACGATTCCCAATTGTACACCTTCGAATCTCCACCCTCTATCAATCTTGCGAAGTTGAGTCGATCAAAAGAGGATGAAGACGAGAGTCTTTGGTGATCAATCTACTTTTATTGTTAGTTCTTCGATTCACCGATCAACTTGTAAAATGATGAATTCTCGATCACTTCCGAAAGCTTGGAGACACGCGATTGTCCAAGCACAACCGCGAACGAGAGATGTTTGCTCGAAAGCTCGAGCCCGTACTCGAAGGCTGGTCGAAAATCCGCGCGTGTTCTTGGATCTTGTCGAATCACGAAGTGAATGAGGAGATAGTAGAACGGTAGTGCAGCATGGACCAGGGTAACGAGAACGCGGTGCCCACCAACCGGCCAAAGAAAGTGGTAGGGACACCAGGTAAACGTACGTTTCCTGAGAACTGTCTACGTCGCGCATCGGGCCTCGCCACATGTCGGATTCTCTTTCGCAAAATGAATGACTTTTCACGGTTCGAGACTGCTGACTAAGTATATACATTGATCGCCGTTAGCAAGGTAACGTGGGCATTCTTTGAGGTCGAATAGAAACGATAACGACCCCCCTCTCCGTACGCCCCATTTCCGGTTGCACTTCAACCCTCGAAAGGTGTACTCGTGATTGGAGAAATTGGCGTATGATAGTTTGGTTGTATTGTGTTTAATGGAATGATAGAAAAATAGTGTGAGTTTGTTTTTGTTTGATAGGTGGATATGATAGTTTGTATTGGATTGTATTTAATGGAATGATAGAAAAATAGTGTGGGTTTGTTTTTGTTTGATAGTGGATATGATAGTTTGTATTGAATTGTATGGATTGTATTTAATGGAATAGTAGACAAATACTGTGAATTCGTTTGTTTGATAGTGGATATGATAGTTTATATTGAATTGTATTTAATGGAATGATAGAAAAATAGTGTGAGTTCGTTTGTTTGATAGGTGGATATGATAGTTTGGTCGTATTGTGTTTAATGGAATGATAGAAAAATAGTGTGAGTTCGTTTTTGTTTGATAGTGGATATGATAGTTTGTATTGAATTGTATTTAATGGAATGATAGAAAAATAGTGTGAGTTCGTTTGTTTGATAGGTGGATATGATAGTTTGTATTGGATTGTTTGAATGATTCTTTTAGGTGGATCGTATTCTTTTAGGGAATGATAGAAAAATATTGTGTGTTCGTTTGTTTGATGGTGTGTATGATTGTTTGTATTGGATTGTTTGAGAATAGTATGATGTGTTTGTTTCATGTATGAATACATGAATGATTCTTCTTTTTGTAGTGTATTCTTTAGTGGAATACTCGAAAAATATCGTACATTCGTTTGTTTGATGATGTGTATGATAATTTGTATTGGCTTGTTTGATATTGTTTGAGAATTCTAATAAGAAATGTTTGTTTGGTCTATAAATTGATGAACGATTATTTTCCTTACATCGTATTCTTTACTGGAATCCTAGAAAAATATCATGGATTCGTTTGTTTCACAGTGCATATGATAGTTTCTATCAGTTTGTTTGATATTGTTTGTGAATGATAAAAAATGTTTGTTTGGTCTATGAATATGTGAAAAATTCTTTTCTTTGCATCATATTCTTTACTAAGACACTAAAAAAATATTGTGCATTTGTTTATTTGACAATGCATATGATAGTTTGTATCAGTTTGTCTGATTTTGTTTGTGAATGATAAAAAATGTTTGTTTGGCCTATGAATGCGTGAAAAATTCTTTTCTTTGCATCATACTCTTTACTAGAACGTTAGAAAAATATCGTGCATTCGTTTGTTTGATGATGTATATGATAGTTTGTATCGATTTGTTTGATATTGTTTGAGAATGATAAATAATATTTGTTTGGTCTATGAATACGTGAAAAATTCTTTTCTTTGCGTCATATTCTTTACTAAAATGTTAGAAAAATATCCTCCATTCGTTTGATTGATGATGTTTATGATAGTTTGTATCGATTTGTTTGTTATAGTTTGTGAATGATAAAACATGTTTGTTTGGTCTATAAATACGTGAAAAATTCTTTTCTTTGCATCATACTCTTTACTAAAACGTTAGAAAAATATCATGCATTCGTTTGTTTGATGATTTATATGATAGTTTGTATCGGTTTGTTTGATATTGTTTGAAAAAAATAAGAAATGTCTGTTTGGTCTATGAATTGATGAATCATTCTTTTCTTTGCACCGTATTCTTTACTAGAATGTTAGAAAAATATCGTCCATTCGTTTGTTTGATGATGTATATGATAGTTTGTATCAATTTGATTGATATTGTTTGAGAATGATAAAAAATGTTTGTTTGGTCTATAAATACATAAAAAAATCTTTTCTTTGCATCATACTCTTTACTAGAACGTTAGAAATATATCATCCATTCGTTTGTTTGATGATGTATATGATAGTTTGTTTGATATTGTTTGAGAATGATAAAAAATGTTTGTTTGGTCTATGAATTGATGAACGATTATTTTCTTTGCATCATACTCTTTATTGGAATATTCGAAAAATATTGTGAATTTCTTTGTTTGATGGTGCATATGATAGTTTGTATTGCATTGTTTGAGAATAATAAATGTTTGTTTCGTGTATGAATACATGAATGATTCTTTTTCTTGTATTGTATTCTTTACTAAAATACTCGAAAAATATCGTGCATTCGTTTGTTTGATGATTTGTATGATAGTTTGTATCAGTTTGTTTGATCACATTTGACAATTTTAACAATAAACAATTGAATACTTCTGCAGTTTCCAAAAACCCATTTTAAAAAAACTACGTCTCCCAAAAAACTACAGTACCCATTAATATATTATTTAATTAATTTTTCATTCCAACAAAGTCCAATTAAAAAAGTTTCCCAAAATTGCATATACAGTGTGTTTCATTCTATTTTTTTTTTTCCAATAATTGTTGTTTAAATATTCTAACAATGTAAATGGAATTTTATTTTTGCTAAATGCTTACAATATACTTCTTTATTAGATATTTTTCCCCCTATTATTCTACCAGCTGAATAAGAACTTTACATCTGCTTTGCAATCCAAGCCAATTTTTGTCCTCGTCATTACGCAACCTCCTGTCATTTGGAGACGACTTGGGAACACTTTAATAGCCAATTTTTCTTTCAATGGATACGAGTCCAACTTAGCGAGTTCTATTTATGGAGAACGTATATTTTTTATTTTAATTAGTTGATTAATTATTTGAATATATTTTATGGAAGATCCAAGTCTCAAAAACGATATGTGGAAAGTGTTAGAAGAATCGAGAACGTTTTGGGGGAACCTTGAATCGAATTCTCTCGTTTACTCGAACACGATAGTTTCCAAAGTAGTTGACGTAATTTCTCGGGAAGTAATAAACTCATTTCCAACAGTATGGATATAAAAACACTTTATTTAATATACGAGTAAGTTTATTTTCTTGTTTAAAGAAATCACAGTTGAAAAATATATTGCTTATAATTTCAGAATTTTTCAATTATTAAACAACTTTCTTTATTATACAACTGCCTTAGAAGTGAATAAAATCGTTTTTTATAGTGTTTCCTTTTTAGTAAGAGACATAAAATTTCTATAAATTAAATTGTGTTGCACATAAAAATGGAACCATTTTTTAATTAACAATCCTTACACACACGTTTTGGCAAAAATAAATAAAAATTTGGCTGTCTGAATATTACTTAAATATTACAAAAAGGGGCATAAAAAATCATAACCAAGAAATAAAAATTCATTTAAAGCCAGTCCATGATTTTTTCTTTTAATTTTTGCATGTTCTCAGTACTTGTCTTTTTATTTTGCTACATAACATTGTTCCTGTGAAATTTGGGACGTCAAAAACACGTGACATTTAATATTTACTGTCCATAGTCATTTTTCACCCACCTTAATAAATTAAATATTCCCATTTTACAGAAATATGCATTAATTGTACTACACAGTAAAGTTACCCAACTGAAAAAGGTGTCAATATCAATACTTAAAGTCGTCACGACCATGGTATTTTATATTTACATAAAAAACATTAAACAGGACTTCCACGAAAGTGACTGAATTATAATTGGATAAATACATAGAACAAACATCGCTAAAAAAATAAATTTGGCTCTCATCTTTTTAAACAAACGATATTTTCAAACTCTTGATACAACGAGAGTTGTTGCAAGATTTTTTATTTAAACGTAAAATACCGTCGCTGTGTTTGAATTTCATAAATTGTACTCGTTTGTGACTACGAGATGTAGAATGTGAAACTTTTACCAAGATTTCGAGTTGGCACCGTCGTTTATCCTTGCTGGAGCCGCCAAACACAGACTTTCTTTTTTTTAATGCAATTAAAATGGTGAAAGTGGCCATCCGGAGGTGTTCCAACATATTGTATAATCGTGATCTGGTATTTTTAACCCACTTTTCGTACCTTGATCATTTACATACCTGATACATACTCGTCCAGATTTTTATCCTGACCTGCGCCATGAAACAAGGTGTATCTTGATATGAAATAATAGAAGATTAAAAATAATTCCTCCTACAAAAATGAATCACAAAAAAAGAAAAAAAAATCTCTTTATTTAGTGTGAGATTTTGTTTAGCAGAAAATTAATTTTTAAAATTTGTTTAATTTACATATTAGGGGCTCATAAATTTAGAGCTGTGTCTTTTACAAGTTTAAAAAATATTACAAATTTTACAGTGGCAGTATTTAAGTGAAAAATGATATTTGAAATTTTAACACATTACCGACCGATAGCCTATTAATCGACTTTTTTACCGGCCAACACTTACCGACCGATAGCGTATTAATCAACTTTTTTACCGACCAACGCTTACCGACCGATAGCCGATTAATCAACCGCTACCGGTCGGTAAAGTGTTAAGAGAGTGAAGAAATAATTTGTTGATGTTTGAGCAAATTAAAAGTATAAAATAGAATGTTTTTAGTGTGAGATTTTGTTTAGCAGAAAATTAATTTTCAAAATTTGTTTAAATTACACATATTGAGACTCTTAAATTTAAATCTGTATATTTTACAAATTTCTAAGGGGTAGTATTTAAATGAAAAATGAAATTTGAAATTTTAAGAGAAATAATTACTTTTGTTTGTGCAAATCAAAAGTATAAAATAGAATC